GATTGATTTCATTTATTTTTAACAGTAATTCCAATAAATTGACCAATAGAAATAGAAACAATAAAAATAAATATATCAAAGTTTATTTGCCTCACTGTCCCTCCACTCCTGCCCTCCCCCAGTTATTTACCCCCGTTGTGACCCCCTGACCTGACCTCATGACCTTGGTTCAGGTTCAGCTGCTGTTAGTGTTTTTTTTGTTTGTTTGTTTGTTTTTTTTATAGCAGACCAAGATGAGATGATACTCCGCCCTCTTTCTGCCCCCCGCCCCTCATCTGTGAGCCCCGATTTTGATCCCCCCCTTATTTAATAAGAATAGTTTTTCTCACCTTTTCTGACTGGTTTGGTTTAAAATTGACAAGTGTTGACAAATATGTTTTTCTAATGAAATAAAGTCACAGTTAAAGGCTTTTATTTTTTTAAACCTATCTCACTCCACAGACAGTGATTGTCAGGTCCAGGGACACACTGGCATGTAGACTAGACCAGACTGGACAGACTGTTCTTTTCTGGAACTCCAGTTTATAGTTTGATTGTTTTGTTTTTATTTTAGGTCAAACGTTAATTTCTGCCCTGCAGCTGAAGGTCAAAGGTTAACGTTTTAAAGGAGGAGGCGTGGCCGCAGATTGACATAGTGCTTTATTGAAGCTGTCTGTAAGAAGGAAAATAATGTTCATCCCATCATAAACATCTTCATGTGTAAAAATACTCAGGATGTACAGTTTAAAAAAAACAGCTTCATGTCGATGGTAATCGGTTCTTGTCACATGACGGCGGCCTCAACCTGACATTGGGGACACATTAGAGACGCTGTTGGATCTGCTCAGTCCTCCCAACACCGCCCTGGAGACCGAAGGCGTCTCCGCCACAGCAGTGCATCATGGGAACGTGGCTCGTCTCTCTGAACAACAGAGAACCGTTCAGAGAAGAACAAGAGTAAAGCTACAGTGACAGGAAATGAAAACAGTTCCAACTTCTCGTCTTCCTTCTTTTCCTCTTTCTGTTGTGTTTAAGCACATGATCGTCGTCGACCAGTAGCAACACTCCTGGAGTGGGATGGTTCTGATGGACGTTCAGTACAAACAGGAGCAGCTTTAGGAGAGAACGTGGTCAGTGCTGACGACCCCGGAGCTTCACGCCTGCCCCGATTATTTTAAAAGTTTGGAGGAGGCGACCGGACCTTCTCGAGGATCTGAAGGTCGGTTCACACGTGTCTGGATCTTGACTTGTTCAAAGGATTTGAATGTAATCTTCACAAAACCCAAGATCTGAACCTGAGTCTGTAACCAGGTCTGACCTCCCAGTCACAGAGGAGGTCGGACAGAACCTGGACCCCCTTTTTTTTTTTCCCCCAATCAGACGCGCTTGTTTCTCACTCCCTGTGGTCGCAGCACTGACCCGTCTCTGGCACGTGGGAAACAGTTACCCAGGTTTTTTTTTTTTTTCTTCTCTTTACTCGGAGCAGCATCAAAGCTATTGGTTTCATGTGAAGTGGAGATGTGCTTTAAAAATCCCATTTTCTTAAAAACATAAAAAAGCTAAAAAGTTGTTTTTTTTTTCTTTAAAGCAGAGCTGATCAAAATTATCGATATCAAAAGTGATGGATGTGGAAAAAAGTGCCGCGGCCAAAAAACGAAGAAAATAAAATTATTTTTGGAGAACAGCGTGAACACAGAGCGGAACTCCTCGCTCACTCAGACCTGGGTGGAGTCAACACGTGGAGCGTGGTCTGGTTCTGCTGCAGCTGGATTTGTACCTTTGTTTTTTTGTTATTTCTTTTCCATTCTGCTGATCTCAGAACAGTCCGACCGTGACTTCCACTCAGGCCTGGTGTCGTGGAGAACCGCAGCACGCCGCTCAGCGCCAACCTCTAAACCCTCTGCCTGGTTTGATGGCGGTGCAGTGGTAAAGCGTAACGACTGGAGAGCAGCAGGAAAAAGTGGTCATTTTTCTAGACATGAAGAAAAACCTGGAGTTAAAGAAAAGTAAAAACGGGAACGACTAAAAACAATAGTAATAAATTAAAGAGGAAAAAAAAATTCAAGTCAACAATTCGTCATCGTCAACAACAACAACGAAAGACATTCAAATAAATACAGTGGAATGTAGTTCTCTATTCTCTAGGCCTGATGTCGGCACATTCTCTGGAACTCTCCTCGGACTTCACGCCATCCGTATTTCCACGTTTCCCACATTTTTTTAAAAAATATATTTTTTCACATCTGCTTCAAACTCTGTAAGTGCTGGATGTCAAGTTTTTTTTTTTTTTTGGAGCTAAACCATAAGGCGTAACTGACCTGGAGCTGAAGTTTGGTGGGTCAGAGTGGAAGACGTGACGTTGAAGACAAACAAACAAACAAACAAACAAACGACAGAGGACGAGGGTCACGACCAGAGCAGTGACAGAACTGGGCAAAGAACAGACAACAGGTAAAACAAGCCACTGAACTTACACTCCTCCCCCTCTGCTCCTCCCCCTCTGCTCCTCCCCCTCTGCTCCTTCTTTAACCTTCCTTTCTCCTCTCTTCCCTTTCCTCCATTACTTTTTTTTCTCCTCTTTTACTCCTCCTTGTTTTCCTCCTCTGCTCCTCCTGGACACACTCACAGTTTGGTCCTGTGGTGGACTAGTTTACATTCACAGATCTACTTTCTCCTCCTCCTCAGCGTCTCCTCCTGTCCTCTCTCAGTCCCTGTCTGTTCCTCCTGTCTCATTGACGTCCTCCTCACCCTCTGTGGTAGAACCTTCTCCTGCCTTTCACACAGTTCTGTCACCTTGTCCTGGTCCCCGACCACAGAAGAAGAACCTGACGTCACGGCGGAGCAGGAAGGCGTTCTGCTTCTTTACATTCTTCAGCCACTCTTCCTCAGGTGACCTTTTTTTTTATCCACTCAGCCCTAAGAAAGGTTTGTTTCTAGAATAATGTCAGAACGGTAGAAAAGTTAAATATAAAACGATGAGCCGATCAATAAATAGACATATATATATATGAATATATATGTATATATATATATATTATAGCCTCTGCTGTGAACCCACAGATTCTACGAGATGAATCAGCTCTGCAGCAGTCACATGACTGGGTTTCTCTCCGATGACCTTTGACCTCACTCATCCACAGTACAGTAAATCATCAGGTAATAAATATTTCATAAAGTCTCGTCCTCACTCTGCTCTGGACGGACAGTGCAGCGACGTGAGAACCATGTGTCACAGTCAACCCTGCGTCCTGGACTCAGAAAGTACCGACGCACTTGTCACTGTTGAGTGACTGGAACTCATGAAAGAACTGCACTGGGAAAGTTCGTGAAATTAAAATAAAAAAAAAAGGGTCTAAGAAGGATGACATCACCATCTTCTCGTTTTTTCACCCCCTGCAGTGACAGACAGGTCGACAGCCTCGCATTGCATCGTGGGTAATCCAGACTGAAGTAAAGCTGATCGTTCGGGAGCTTCGTTCTGCTGAGCTGCTGTGCTTTGAGGTGTGATCTCACACACACACATACACACACACACACACCATCCCATCATCACAGTGGAGCTGCACAGCCTGACTCCTCCTCCTCGCTCCTCAGTGCCCACACCTGTAGTAGACGTTCATTATTATTCAGACATCCTGCTGTGCAGCTTCAGTGGGTGGCGCTAATGTGACGCATCTTACGTACATCGACCACCTCCTGCCCGCATCGACTCTGTGTGTGTGTGTGTGTGCTGCCAGCGTCTGAATGTAGACCAAGGAGGAGTGGACTGTAGCACCGGGTTTTAGAAGGAGTATAGTGGTTGTAGCAGTAGTACCTGCAGTACCTGTAGTACCTGTAGTAGGTGGTAGTAGTTGAAATAGCAGCAATAATAAGAATGAATTGCACTGAGCGAAGCCTGAGTCGAATCCTGCTGGAGAACATGAGGTGTGTTCGGTTCTGCTCACTGGTGTGACAACTAGTTCCTCTGTGCCCAGGCATCCTCAGCCGATCCCAGATCCATCCCTCTGAGAACTCAGGCGCGAGTCTATTCTCGACATCCTGAGGTAAAACTCTGGAAACGGCAGTTTGTGTTTGGGCGAGCGCCGTTTTCCTCGTACAGACGGGAAAAAATGAAAACAAAGTTCCTTCAACGGTTCGTTTGTTTGTTCACGTGGTTCAGAAAGTGTGAATGGGTTTTTACGAGTGTGACAGCAGCAGCAGCAGACGTCAAAGCACAGCAGGTCAGAGGTGACGCTCCAGTCATTAAAGGGACATTTCAGAATAAAAGATCACATCCCGGCTAGGGCCACTGAGGGGCGCAACGCAGAATTAGAGAAAAAATGAGTTTGAAGACACTGACTAGAAGAGGGATTCTTCCAAATAAATAGTTAAATATATATGTCAATAAATAACAAACCAGTGGAGCAGAGAGGTGAAAAGATGGGAGTGGGAGGGGGGAGGGGCGTCCTTGAAGTCAATGTTGTTGTGGTTTGCTCCAAAGCTGTGGGTGTTTGTTTTTTGTCCCACAGTGATGACCTCAGAGACCAGCTGTGATGATGTCATCATGACGGAATCTTCATTCACGGCCACTGGCCGAGTAGGAAAACTGGGGGAAGTGAGGTCTTCGCTCATTGTCCAGACAGTCCATCCCATCTTCATCAACTGAGAGAGGGAGGAGGGAAGGAGGAAAGGAAAAGAAGAAACAGGTAAGAACTCTACTAACAACACACTTCTATGAGCACAGGCACCAAAGCTAACATTAGCTACACGTATATTCTTTCTGATTAATAATTCGGGATCAAATAAGTTCCTGAAAAAAAATAGTTTCTCAAAAATGACTAAAAATGCACTCATTTGTCTTAAAATACTTTGCTATGTCCATTTCTGTTGTTAAAATTGAGAAAAATTATACTTTTTTGGTTTGTCAACTTTTGATCACAGTATAATACCATACCAATAAGTTCCTGAAGAAATCTCCGGAAAAAAAAGTTTCTCAAAAATGACTAAAAATGCACTCATTTGTCTTAAAATACTTTGCTATGTCCATTTCTGTTGTTAAAATTGAGAAAAATTATACTTTTTTGGTTTGTCAACTTTTGATCACAGTATAATACCATACCAATAAGTTCCTGAAGAAATCTCCGGAAAAAAAAGTTTCTCAAAAATGACTAAAAATGCACTCATTTGTCTTAAAATACTTTGCTATGTCCATTTCTGTTGTTAAAATTGAGAAAAATTATACTTTTTTGGTTTGTCAACTTTTGATCACAGTATAATACCATACCAATAAGTTCCTGAACAAATCTCCGGAAAAAAAAGTTTCTCAAAAATGACTAAAAATGCACTCATTTGTCTTAAAATACTTTGCTATGTCCATTTCTGTTGTTAAAATTGAGAAAAATTATACTTTTTTGGTACGTCAACTTTTGATCACAGTATAATACCATACCAATAAGTTCCTGAACAAATCTCCGGAAAAAAAAGTTTCTCAAAAATGACTAAAAATGCACTCATTTGTCTTAAAATACTTTGCTATGTCCATTTCTGTTGTTAAAATTGAGAAAAATTATACTTTTTTGGTACGTCAACTTTTGATCACAGTATAATACCATACCAATAAGTTCCTGAACAAATCTCCGGAAAAAAAAGTTTCTCAAAAATGACTAAAAATGCACTCATTTGTCTTAAAATACTTAGCTATGTCCATTTCTGTTGTTAAAATTGAGAAAAATTATACTTTTTTGGTACGTCAACTTTTGATCACAGTATAATACCATACCAATAAGTTCCTGAACAAATCTCCGGAAAAAAAAGTTTCTCAAAAATGACTAAAAATGCACTCATTTGTCTTAAAATACTTTGCTATGTCCATTTCTGTTGTTAAAATTGAGAAAAATTATACTTTTTTGGTACGTCAACTTTTGATCACAGTATAATACCATACCAATAAGTTCCTGAACAAATCTCCGGAAAAAAAAGTTTCTCAAAAATGACTAAAAATGCACTCATTTGTCTTAAAATACTTTGCTATGTCCATTTCTGTTGTTAAAATTGAGAAAAATTATACTTTTTTGGTACGTCAACTTTTGATCACAGTATAATACCATACCAATAAGTTCCTGAACAAATCTCCGGAAAAAAAAGTTTCTCAAAAATGACTAAAAATGCACTCATTTGTCTTAAAATACTTAGCTATGTCCATTTCTGTTGTTAAAATTGAGAAAAATTATACTTTTTTGGTACGTCAACTTTTGATCACAGTATAATACCATACCAATAAGTTCCTGAACAAATCTCCGGAAAAAAAAGTTTCTCAAAAATGACTAAAAATGCACTCATTTGTCTTAAAATACTTAGCTATGTCCATTTCTGTTGTTAAAATTGAGAAAAATTATACTTTTTTGGTACGTCAACTTTTGATCACAGTATAATACCATACCAATAAGTTCCTGAACAAATCTCCGGAAAAAAAAGTTTCTCAAAAATGACTAAAAATGCACTCATTTGTCTTAAAATACTTTGCTATGTCCATTTCTGTTGTTAAAATTGAGAAAAATTATACTTTTTTGGTACGTCAACTTTTGATCACAGTATAATACCATACCAATAAGTTCCTGAACAAATCTCCGGAAAAAAAAGTTTCTCAAAAATGACTAAAAATGCACTCATTTGTCTTAAAATACTTTGCTATGTCCATTTCTGTTGTTAAAATTGAGAAAAATTATACTTTTTTGGTACGTCAACTTTTGATCACAGTATAATACCATACCAATAAGTTCCTGAACAAATCTCCGGAAAAAAAAGTTTCTCAAAAATGACTAAAAATGCACTCATTTGTCTTAAAATACTTAGCTATGTCCATTTCTGTTGTTAAAATTGAGAAAAATTATACTTTTTTGGTACGTCAACTTTTGATCACAGTATAATACCATACCAATAAGTTCCTGAACAAATCTCCGGAAAAAAAAGTTTCTCAAAAATGACTAAAAATGCACTCATTTGTCTTAAAATACTTAGCTATGTCCATTTCTGTTGTTAAAATTGAGAAAAATTATACTTTTTTGGTACGTCAACTTTTGATCACAGTATAATACCATACCAATAAGTTCCTGAACAAATCTCCGGAAAAAAAAGTTTCTCAAAAATGACTAAAAATGCACTCATTTGTCTTAAAATACTTTGCTATGTCCATTTCTGTTGTTAAAATTGAGAAAAATTATACTTTTTTGGTACGTCAACTTTTGATCACAGTATAATACCATACCAATAAGTTCCTGAACAAATCTCCGGAAAAAAAAGTTTCTCAAAAATGACTAAAAATGCACTCATTTGTCTTAAAATACTTAGCTATGTCCATTTCTGTTGTTAAAATTGAGAAAAATTATACTTTTTTGGTACGTCAACTTTTGATCACAGTATAATACCATACCAATAAGTTCCTGAACAAATCTCCGGAAAAAAAAGTTTCTCAAAAATGACTAAAAATGCACTCATTTGTCTTAAAATACTTAGCTATGTCCATTTCTGTTGTTAAAATTGAGAAAAATTATACTTTTTTGGTACGTCAACTTTTGATCACAGTATAATACCATACCAATAAGTTCCTGAACAAATCTCCGGAAAAAAAAGTTTCTCAAAAATGACTAAAAATGCACTCATTTGTCTTAAAATACTTAGCTATGTCCATTTCTGTTGTTAAAATTGAGAAAAATTATACTTTTTTGGTACGTCAACTTTTGATCACAGTATAATACCATACCAATAAGTTCCTGAACAAATCTCCGGAAAAAAAAGTTTCTCAAAAATGACTAAAAATGCACTCATTTGTCTTAAAATACTTAGCTATGTCCATTTCTGTTGTTAAAATTGAGAAAAATTATACTTTTTTGGTACGTCAACTTTTGATCACAGTATAATACCATACCAATAAGTTCCTGAACAAATCTCCGGAAAAAAAAGTTTCTCAAAAATGACTAAAAATGCACTCATTTGTCTTAAAATACTTAGCTATGTCCATTTCTGTTGTTAAAATTGAGAAAAATTATACTTTTTTGGTACGTCAACTTTTGATCACAGTATAATACCATACCAATAAGTTCCTGAACAAATCTCCGGAAAAAAAAGTTTCTCAAAAATGACTAAAAATGCACTCATTTGTCTTAAAATACTTAGCTATGTCCATTTCTGTTGTTAAAATTGAGAAAAATTATACTTTTTTGGTACGTCAACTTTTGATCACAGTATAATACCATACCAATAAGTTCCTGAACAAATCTCCGGAAAAAAAAGTTTCTCAAAAATGACTAAAAATGCACTCATTTGTCTTAAAATACTTAGCTATGTCCATTTCTGTTGTTAAAATTGAGAAAAATTATACTTTTTTGGTACGTCAACTTTTGATCACAGTATAATACCATACCAATAAGTTCCTGAACAAATCTCCGGAAAAAAAAGTTTCTCAAAAATGACTAAAAATGCACTCATTTGTCTTAAAATACTTAGCTATGTCCATTTCTGTTGTTAAAATTGAGAAAAATTATACTTTTTTGGTACGTCAACTTTTGATCACAGTATAATACCATACCAATAAGTTCCTGAACAAATCTCCGGAAAAAAAAGTTTCTCAAAAATGACTAAAAATGCACTCATTTGTCTTAAAATACTTAGCTATGTCCATTTCTGTTGTTAAAATTGAGAAAAATTATACTTTTTTGGTACGTCAACTTTTGATCACAGTATAATACCATACCAATAAGTTCCTGAACAAATCTCCGGAAAAAAAAGTTTCTCAAAAATGACTAAAAATGCACTCATTTGTCTTAAAATACTTAGCTATGTCCATTTCTGTTGTTAAAATTGAGAAAAATTATACTTTTTTGGTACGTCAACTTTTGATCACAGTATAATACCATACCAATAAGTTCCTGAACAAATCTCCGGAAAAAAAAGTTTCTCAAAAATGACTAAAAATGCACTCATTTGTCTTAAAATACTTAGCTATGTCCATTTCTGTTGTTAAAATTGAGAAAAATTATACTTTTTTGGTACGTCAACTTTTGATCACAGTATAATACCATACCAATAAGTTCCTGAACAAATCTCCGGAAAAAAAAGTTTCTCAAAAATGACTAAAAATGCACTCATTTGTCTTAAAATACTTAGCTATGTCCATTTCTGTTGTTAAAATTGAGAAAAATTATACTTTTTTGGTACGTCAACTTTTGATCACAGTATAATACCATACCAATAAGTTCCTGAACAAATCTCCGGAAAAAAAAGTTTCTCAAAAATGACTAAAAATGCACTCATTTGTCTTAAAATACTTAGCTATGTCCATTTCTGTTGTTAAAATTGAGAAAAATTATACTTTTTTGGTACGTCAACTTTTGATCACAGTATAATACCATACCAATAAGTTCCTGAACAAATCTCCGGAAAAAAAAGTTTCTCAAAAATGACTAAAAATGCACTCATTTGTCTTAAAATACTTAGCTATGTCCATTTCTGTTGTTAAAATTGAGAAAAATTATACTTTTTTGGTACGTCAACTTTTGATCACAGTATAATACCATACCAATAAGTTCCTGAACAAATCTCCGGAAAAAAAAGTTTCTCAAAAATGACTAAAAATGCACTCATTTGTCTTAAAATACTTAGCTATGTCCATTTCTGTTGTTAAAATTGAGAAAAATTATACTTTTTTGGTACGTCAACTTTTGATCACAGTATAATACCATACCAATAAGTTCCTGAACAAATCTCCGGAAAAAAAAGTTTCTCAAAAATGACTAAAAATGCACTCATTTGTCTTAAAATACTTAGCTATGTCCATTTCTGTTGTTAAAATTGAGAAAAATTATACTTTTTTGGTACGTCAACTTTTGATCACAGTATAATACCATACCAATAAGTTCCTGAACAAATCTCCGGAAAAAAAAGTTTCTCAAAAATGACTAAAAATGCACTCATTTGTCTTAAAATACTTAGCTATGTCCATTTCTGTTGTTAAAATTGAGAAAAATTATACTTTTTTGGTACGTCAACTTTTGATCACAGTATAATACCATACCAATAAGTTCCTGAACAAATCTCCGGAAAAAAAAGTTTCTCAAAAATGACTAAAAATGCACTCATTTGTCTTAAAATACTTAGCTATGTCCATTTTTGTTGTTAAAATTCAGAAATAATCAGCTTTTTGGCAGACACTTTTATCAAAAGTTTTCCATGACTTCACAAATTTATTGTGAAGTCCTGGAAACCTGCTACCTAACCCAGCATTTCTAATTATGAAAAATCACCACATCAACACATTCACTGAAAATTATTGAGGTACACGAAGTAGAAGTATTGGGAGTTCATCAAGTTTTTATCTCCACTAAACCTTTGATTTCTGTTTTTGTTACGTTAGACTCATCCAAGTTTTTCTGATTTGCCTTTAAATTTCAGCAGCTGCAGGTGCAGCACCGGCCGTCTGAGTCGATGGGGAGCAGTCTGTTGTAAAGCCATCATCTGATGGAGTGGCTTCTGCAGCATTCAGGAGTCGCAGCTTCACCCATGCTGCATACATCGAAGGACTTGGAGCAAAGTCTGCTTTTTGTAAAAGCCACATGTTGTGTGAACTACATTTTCCTGGCATTTTGTCAGGAAACAGTATCTATATAGCATGTTAACGAACCAAAACAAGGAATTTGCAATTTCCAGAGATTTTCTAGGTTTTTTTTTATTGTACAAACCTTGTTTGAAGATTGGGATGTTGATATTGTCACAGCAGTTCACTGTCTGACTTTGTTACTTGTTACTTCACGAACACATCTATTGCATATTTCTAATTAAACAATTAAACTCATAATTGTTATTACTGTCACTACTGCTTTCTTTGTTTATTCTTTTGTTCTTTGTGTTTATATCATTTGTAATATGTGAGTGAAATCTTAATTTTGCCTGTTATGTTAGTCAAACAGTGGAAAAATATGTTGAAAATTTTGGAGAATAAATTTCAAAATTTAGTGGTTACCACATCCTAATTGCATGTGTCTTGTGGTCAGATGGTACAAAATTTTATTTTTCTGCACGTTTCTCATCTAATAAAAGCATTTTAAAAAATTCTTTTAGAATTTTTTTTTTTTAATTTCTCTGTAAGATCCTTATTTTGCGTGTCATGGTCAGATGGTGAAAAATTTTGATGACATTTTTTGGTAAAACAAACTTTCAAAATTGTATGTTTTCTGCACATTTATTATCAATTAAGAGCATTTAAAAAAAATTAGAAAACTTTTTTTTCAATTTTTTATGAATATTTCAAAAATC